GCCGACAAATTGAGAGAACGGTTCTACCTTGCTATGTTTTTATCATGGTAGAGATGATTAATGGTGTTTCCGTTTCTATAAAAAAATGTCGCCTTTTTATATTTTTTGCAGAAAATACATTGTGTTAAGGCATTGGAACGGTCAAACGCTTTATGTAACTACACAGATCCGAAAATAACATTTTTGTGGAAAAATAGCGAGAACGGTACTCATGTTTCTAGGGTATGCTCAGTTATTCGGTTATTATTATTTGGAAACCCCACATTTTTCCATACCGTTGCAAAGTTGTTTTTTAAATTAAACTGTTTTAAAGCTTAAGACATTTTTTCTTTATTTCTGTGTTCGATCCAAGGCCCGAGCAACATCTAAAAAAAAGTGTTTTCTAACAGCGGTCGCCGCTTGGCAGGCAATGTCAACATCCTCCGCTTCCCATACAAAAAAAAAACCTAAATACACTAACCTAAATTAGCGAGGACTGCTCGTTCTGTCTACAATTTCAATTGAATGTAATTTGAAACTTTCATTATTGTGTACATATGTATGTATGTATAAAATTAATTCTTTATTATGAAATACAAGTAAGTTCTATATATCTAAGTACAATAAATAATCGAGCATTAAAATTTAAAGTAAATATTTCAAAACAAAGTACATGTCAAAGTTTTTGTTAATAGATTAACGAATATTATTCTACGATAATAAGAAATTTCGTTAGTCAAATTTATATTAAAATTTAAATTTAAAATATATCTAAGAATGTAGTATACATAAATGAAACCTATAAGTATTTACATTCACACAAATACAAAACGCATACACACCAGCACTTTTACTACCTATGCTAAACAGTTATGAAAAGAAAATAATCAGGAAAAAGTGTTTTTGTAGTGAGCATTTCGGAAAACGGCGCTTGAGCTGGGTTTCAGTTCAAGGAAAAAATCTCTTTAGTTGCTTAAGAAAACAAAGTGATTTCGTTCCGACTCCCATTCGATTCAGTTAATGCGTCTGTTCGATAATCTGATAATTATCACAAATTATTTTTAGACGATTAATCATTAAACGAAAACTAGTCGACGAACAGTTGAATTACATATCGAATATTAATTGAAATTATCCTTTTTGTGTGTTTAGAAATATTCTCACTTCAGTTCTATTCTATCTGAAGTTTACGTTTACTGATAGATTTTTACGCTTGGCCCTGAGCGTAGTAGTAACCGCCAAATGGGAACGCACGCCCAGCTACGGCCACGTTTTGCTGTTGTTGCTGCTGCTGCTGCTGCTGCCGACGGATGCGCAGTTGCTGTTGGTAAGGTGGCTGCAAATCACGATGCAACGCCATCGAAGCCAAGTGCTGCTGCTTAAGATCACTGATCATAGCAATTTTGCGATGCTTAGGCTGGCCACTACTGACGGCTGGCGCAGCTGTGGAGGCAGAGGCACCCCCCCTACCAGCCGCAGCGCTACTCAATTGATAAGCCTCCAAATCTTCATCGCGTGGTAGAGGTTTGTGCTGATCTTCCTCGACTGGAGTGCCATCAGGGCGAACGCGGAAGACAAGCGGACCGCTGAGAAAAGTCTCGGCGTGAGGCTTCTGATTGACTGTTGTTTGAGTGACGGGATAACCGTAGGCGAAGTCCATGTCCCAGGCGAATTTGTGCTTGTGATCAGCATCGCTGTCGAAGAGTGGATTTTGGCTGTTGGTTGTAGTGGAGGCAGCGGCGGCGGCTGCAGCGTTGGCAGATGAGGGGGCTGCTGTATTGGCCGTCTTCTGATGTGTTAGGATTATGATGGAGGAATCCGGTGGTGTTGGCAAGGGTTTGCGGGTGGTAACGAGTGTTGAACTCGGGTGTTCGCGCATGATGGAAGACCAAACTGCAAATAGAAAAAATAAATAAATAAAGGTTGTATTACTACACAAGGATATATCTTTAATGATAGCTAATAGTTAATAATAAATAAATAAATAATTAATTAACTATGATTTACAGCTTTGACTGCTGCTAAAAATAGCTGAATGGGTAGAGTTATAGATGCGTGATGATGCATAATTTATGTACATACATATGTATGAGGATATACATACTTATAGCATTGAGTAACAATTAACGACTGGCTGAATTACACTGTGCAACGTTAAATATGAGCTTTTGAAGGAAAATAGTACAGTGAAATTAGCAAAAAAGTGGTAATTTTTGGTAAGGTCCATAAACCGTTTTGATTTTTATTGAGTAGGTTAAAGAGATGTTAATAAAAGATTTGCGGGTCTCAGGGGGGTTTTTGGAATCGCCGGCATCTTGAAAAGAAGAGTGTAAACGTTTTTCGCTATTTAAATTTATTTCGAAAAAACTCCAGAAAACTGTTTTGTTAGCCGAAAAAATCTATGTACTTTTTTTGTTTAAGCTTTTTTTTTCTAGCGTCATTATTTTGCATGTTAATAATAAATTATTGATAAATTTTTTTTCACATTTTGACAGTGGATTGTCCTAACACCCTTAATTTAATGAAAACAATACCCTTCTAATCTCAATTCTAAAAAATAAAACATAAAAGATTCGAACAGTGTTAAGTATTGCGGTTCGAAAATCTTATCACCGGTTCACTTTTCACTCTTGATTTCCATAGTTTTACTATGGGCGGATGACAAATTTTCGGGTGAATTTTTTTTTTCAGGCGAAACTCAGGCAGATTGTGTAAGCGCCAATCTATTATTATTCTGCCTTGTCGAGTTTCGCCCGAAAAAAAAATTCACCCGAAAATTTTTCATCCGCCCATACATAATACATGGACATCAAAAGTGAAAAGTGAACCGGTCCGGGGAAATTAAACTCATGATAAGGCTGATTATTACTTATTAAACAAAAAAATTTGATTTTTTGGGGCCAACAAATAAGTATTCCTGAGTTTTTCGTAAAAATTAACGGTATCGATCTAAATTTCCAAAAACGCTTACACCCTTCTTTCCAAGATGGCATCTACTCTTCATTCCCCTAAGACCCGCAAATCTACTCAACAATAATGAAAACGATTTATGGACAAACAATTTTGTGCAAAACTCGAGAAAACTCAGCAAATTTTCATCAAAATTTTCAACTTTTTAACCAGATTTTTTAGATTTTTTTGAGTATGCGGTTTTGCAGCCCATTAAATTCTAGTAAAAAAATGCAAGTTCGAAGTTAGTCAAATTGTTGATTTTTGAGATTTTTTTTGTTGAAGGTGTTTTGCATTTTTTCCATACAAAGTATTTTCGAAACAATTTTTTTGTATGAAAGAGACTGCGTGAAAAAAATTGCCAAAAATCAATAGCTACTTAAAACTTGCACTTTATTATAATAAAATTAATTGTGCTACAAATCTGCGTACTCAAAAAAATTCTGATTAAAAAGTTGAAAATTTTGATGAAAATTTGCTGAATTTTCGCGAGTTTTGCACAAAGTTTAGGAATTATATTTTTATGTTTTTTTGTTGTAGAATGAATTGTGAAAAATTTGCTGTGCCAATACTTTGTTCCGGCAGTGTAGCTATAAAAGCCATTGCTCAAACGATCGCTTGTAAATTATTTTCGCGGATGACATTATTGCTACCTCACATATGTAATACAAAGTTTTTCTATGTAGGTACGCTTGTCAACTTACTTAGTTCATTGGCGCCTCGTTGATATGGATCCAACTGGTCCAACTGCGAATCGGCGAACGTCTGCAGTTTCTCATAGCCATAGGCTAGTAAGTCGCGCTTGCACTGATTCACTGGCATTGCAGTGGCGGTGGCGGTAGCTTTGCAATGCACACTAACCAATTGCCCGAATGCGGAATAGAGATACGACATCTGTGGAGAGGAAGAGAAGTGAAGTGAAAAATGCAAGTGAGTGAGTGAGTGATTAGAGAATGTGACGATAAACTTGTGTATAAATAAATAAATGTGTGCACTTACATACACATGCATACAAACGTACAGCTAATTGATAAATTCTTATTTATTTGCGCTTTTACTGATAACTATGTATGTATGTAAGTTGGCGGATATCTTAAATGGCAAATTAATGAACTGCAATGTGCAATACAAGTGCAAGCAACTACATTGATATTTAGTTAAAAAAGAATGCGTTAAGGTTTTGTTCATCTAAAAAAAAAAAAAAAAAAAAAAACAAAAGAAGATTTTGTATATATCATTAAAACTCCCGGTATGGCATGCATGAATATTGTATACTTTTATGCATCGCAATCAGTGTGCTAACAACTATAGACATATCAATATCGTTAATCAACGCCATTATCGTTACCGATTTTACCGGTTCCGCTTTCACTTCTCTTACTTCTCCACTCGGTAACCAGAATATCTCATGCCCGAGAGAAATTTATCGAAACGCGCTTAAGGGCCAGTCTTTCAGTACCAGTTTAAATTTAGATCACATAAACTGCGTTCATATTTAACAGCTCTGGTTGAGATGTGTGTGGCTAATCTTAGTTTAAACCAGCTAGCTGGAGCATTTAAACTACATACATATGTAAGTTTAAACCGGTCGAATTGCACTCAAATACTGGCCCTAAGTGAATACCACGAATTGCTGGCAACATCGATTTTGGTATTTAAATATTAATTTTTGTTTGTTTGTTTAAAGTCTAACAGGTTTGGAGATTTTTTGTCAGAGATTGTGCCCGCTAGTTGTCATTATTTCTACGATTATTATTCGCTCTCATTTCCGTTTTCTATTCTAACCAAAGCTATAACGCGTTCAATAAAGAAAGCTCCCCCCCCCCCCCCCCCCTTTCAACTAAAATAGCGAAAAATAAATAACCATAAGGTGCGAAATTCCCCATTCCGTCATCAACCGCCTTAAAAAAAAAAATGTGTCATCGGCATAGATGCTAAATGTACGCTCTTTAGCTGACGAAATCTTTGAAATCCCCAAATCGACGAAGATTTATATTTGTCTGTCTAGCTGACGTACAGTCTTTTCAGGCTACCGCATTTTCGCATCCGTCCATTCGTCTAATATTTTGCGAAACTCGAAATTAACACAAATGACACGCTCCGATACCTTTACAGAATAACAAATTGCGCATGTACACAAAATATTCTTTCTGCCACAGAGAGCACTCACTCACAAACATTCATCCACACACCACAAGCACGTGTGGAGCGTAAAAGAACCACTGACCCGAAAATGCTGCGTATGGAGCAATTCACGACACGCTTGTGTTGTGGGCGAACAAGGGAAGGTACATTACTTGACTACTGCATCCACAGTGACGATAGCCATATGTATATATGTACACAGCGGAATGTGTGTCGGGCAATTTTGGTTACAAATAGCTGATAGTTGGCAAATGGCTGGTAGTTAGCAAATTGGTAGGGCTTTCCAGTAGCAGTAGCATCCAATGTGTTGCTTTTTTCTGTATCGCATCAGCATACAACAGCATGGAACAGATCATTCTGCACTTGCATCCAGCATAGACTCTTAACTTATATATGTACATACATATGTACATATCGTTCGTATATCGATGGCTGAGTGGAAGATCGACCTATCTCGGCTGCCAGTTCGAAAACGCTCTATCTCAAAAAACTTTTCAAGAACGCCCTATTTCAGAATTTTATTGAAAAACACCCTATCTCAAAATTCGGTATAAAAACGCCCTATCTCACTTCAAAATGTATTGAAAATATGCTGATATAGGGCGTTTTTGAATCGGCAGCTGAGATAGGGCGTTTTTGAAACGAATTCTGAAATAGAGCATTCTTGAAAAGTTTTTTGAGATAGAATGTTTTCGAACTGGCTGCCGAGATAGGTCGATCTTCCACTCAGCCATCGATATGTAGTATGCATTTCAGCGACGATGTGAGATACGCTCTTTCCATACAATACTAACGATATATGTACATACATACATATGTATGCACATATCGCTAATTTACTTCAATAGTGTCATAACTCAAAAAGGTAAATCTCGAGAAACTGGGGTTTAATGTTTTGAATTTACATATCGTCACCCTTATGCCAGAAACATGAATGTATAAAAATTAAAATGTTGGAAAATCAAGTTTGAAAGTTGTTTGTATTACACTTAACTCTAAATGAATGTAATTGACATTATAAAATATGTGGCTTACGTGTACGCATGGTATTCTGGGTTTTGGTATAATATAAAACATCCGAAGGTTAATCAATATGAAATTTTTACCCAAAATAGAAGGTAGCGGTAATTTCTGCATATCTACATACTTAACTCAATCAGGCAGGTTCTGCAATTCACTTCCGAGTGAATTTGAGTCGGATTCGCGTAGAATTCAAATTGGCAGGGGTTGAAATTCACTCGGAAGTGAATTGCAGAACCTGCCTGTATATTTAAATTTTTGCCTGAAATGCATTTTTGTGTTGTTACTCCCTCCCAAAACTCTTATGGCTTCATTCATAAAAAAATAAAACAAATTTGAAGTAAGATTTTCACACAAAGGCGTTAGTATATTTCGGAAGGTATTTAATCCTGTAAATTTAATTTATACTCTCATAACTCGATTCTACATACTATGCACTTTCTTCAAAGGAGACGAGCTTGGCAAGGGCTGATGGAAATTCGTTTCTTAAACCTCTTTAGTCTGATACTCGCATTGTTATATTTAATTTACTTTATCAATTTAATAATTGTCTAAAAATTTTACAAATAGGTGGCAACCCTCCTTAAAAATATTTTTGACAGTAAATTTTCCTAAACCTCTTTAGTTTGATACCCACATTGCAATATTGAATTTATCTTATCAATTAAAAAAAACATTAAAATTTTCAAACAGGTGGCAACCTTCCACACAAAAATATTTCTTAGTTATTATTTGCTTAAACCTCTTTATTTTGGCAGCCATATTGCAATATTTACTTTATTTTATCAGCTTACTTAAACTGCAATATTCAAACAGGTGGCAACTCTCTAATTATTTTTTTCGTACAAACATACAGACAGACAGACGGACATACATTCGCCTGTTACAATTGTGACTGAAATTACAAAACAAACCAATTCTCATCATTTGGGATACTTTCTACAGATGTCATTATCAATTATTTACACAACGTAAAATACAGGTTTGGTGACCATTTCTGCATACTTACTTGAAAGACATTTAGAAAAAAAAATGTACTAGTAAAAAAAAAAAAATCATTCCTTCTGTGGTATTTTTAACATACAAAACGTACAAATTTTGAGAGCAATATTTTTATAATATCGATTTCCGGTTGCTGACGCTCTTCTACACATACATACATTTCATAAATACATACATACATATGTATGAATATTTAGAGTACGTTGCGCCAATAAAATTTGTTTACGTGATCAGCGTGCATATTTTTTTAAGTAATTTAATTGCGGAGTAATTTAATTTCGGAAAAAGTGTATGGCATATTCGAATTATACGTTCGATTCTAAGCAAAAATGGTGAACAAAAATGGTATATACAAAAATGACGTTTGACCATCCCAATTTCGAAAAGGATTCTGCTATTATTTTTCTACCGAGAAATTTTATTTTGAAATTTAATAAGTGATACAGAGCAAAAGATATATTTTAAAAACCTAATGTGATAGAGCACCAACTCGAATCAGGGATGTCAGGATCAGAAGTCGGAGCTTTATTGTGGCACTACGAACACGTGCCTATATAACCGATTAACAGAGTTTTTGGTTTTGCTTTGACACTTTAACACTCCGAAGAGAGATGTCGCTATTAGGGACACGAAATTGATAAACTGTTCAACCGCCGCATCAACTTTATACCAGTTTAACTATTTGAATCTTTATACAGTTTGGGTTTGGGGAAAAAAATAGTAAAATCAAATAAGAAATAAGAGAAATATTAAAATAAAGAATTTTGCACTTCACGGATTCGTTTTCATACATGTTTGCACCTGCAATGGAATTTGAACCCTGACCCTCTGGTGGAAATAAACAAATTTTGGCAAGCATCTTTGCGCACTCAGCTAACACTAAGTTTGTGTGTTTTTGTTGCCACCGCTGAAGTGAAAAATGCTTAATTTTAATATGGGACCATTTGAATTGAATATTTCCTTATACACTACTTTTGAACATGTTTTCATTTGATTTAAATACGTTTTTATTTGATTTTACTATTTTTTCCCCTCAGTGTATACTCAGATGTGGGCAAAATTTTGGCATGAAAGTTGTATTTTTAAATTCGAACATTTTTAAACGATAATCAAATAAAAAATATTCATTTTTACTATGCGTTATTTCCCTCAGTGTAGGGAATTCTTACAAACTATAAAGTTTTGATGCTCAAAAAAACCTTCAAAATAGGTAAGAATAAACTTTCATTTTGAAACAAGCTGCCAATTTTTACTGGCTTTTAACCTACATAAATAAATATTTACATATCGTCGTTTAAAGTGCAAAACCGCGTATCAAGATAATGCAAAACCGCCTATGTGAGTTTAAAAAAAATTATTTTCTAGAGAGTAAAAGTATTTCAAAATGGTTATCTTTTTTATAAAGCAATCGCATTTCTGGCTGGTATATTTCAGAGCGAATGGATAAGGATTGAGCCAAGAGCTTGTGTGAGTAAATCCAATTTTTGGCAGCAAATGTCAGTTACGCGGCTAAAGGATGGTATATACATATGTACATACATATGTGATGTCAAATGTCATTGAATTTGATATGCTTTAAGCTATAAAATGTTTACAACTAACTAAGTACAAATAGTGAAAATTTTAAAATTTTTTGCCAATAGCATATTAATTTTCATTTCATGTATGTATGTATGTATGTATGCACTAGTTAAAATTTCAATCAATGCCAGACCATTTGTGAGTAC